TTGCCAAATTAATAGCCGAAAAAATATTCCGTATCGAACCGCAGAGACGATTCTTGAAGTTTTCAAAGACATTGGGCAAGATCCTGATGTCTTGAAACATATGTCGTTCGGTCGAACAAAGTGTTCAAATATTATATCAAACGTTTTGTATCCTTTAGAAACAAAACGTATTTCTAGTGTTTTACAAAACACTAAATTTTCTATTTATATTGACGAAACATCCGACTCGACCAACGAGAAATGGATGACGTTTCTTGTTCGTTATGTTGCACCCGAGACTTTGGATGTTCGAACGGAATTGGTAGAATTATTACATCTTGATGCCAGAAATTGTGGCGCAGATAATTTATTTAAAACATTTGAAATTGCCATGATAGAAAGAGAAATTCCGTTCGAAAATATTGTCGCGTTGTCATGTGACAACGCTGCTGTCATGACAGGGCGACACTCGTCCTTTATGACAAAGCTTGCAACAAAATGCAGGGACAAATTTTTGACTGTCCGCTGTCCGTGTCATCTGTCTGCAATGGTAGTGCGCGAAGCGTGCAATACCATTCCAGACATATGCGAGGAGTTGTTACGAAAAGTAGCAACTTTCATATACAGTAGTCCCAAACGTTCGGCTATATTCCGCGAATTTCAGCAATGTTTTCAAACAACCGACAGAAAAATTTTAAAATTGTGTTCTACGCGATGGTTATCGCATTATACATCCGTAGTTACACTTTTAGAGAATTGGGACTCTGTATTGCTTTTTTTGCAAGAATTGACAATAAGCGAGAAATCAGAGTCCGGGGAACGTCTGTTAATCTCGATGCAAAATCCAGAGGCCAAAACATATCTTTATTTTCTAAATTACGCTCTTGAGTTTTTTTATAAATTTAGCATTTTCTGTCAAACTCAAGAGACAAGAATTCATTTGCTTCAAAAGACTGCGGCAGAACTTTTATGCGATATATTACGCAATTTTCTGAAACCGCAGCTTTTGAAACACATGGATTTAGTAAGAATGATGAATTTTTCTGTAGTCGAAAATCAACTTCCATTTAATAGTATAAATTTAGAAACAGAGTGTCTTAATTTTCTGCATCAACTGAATGCAGAAGGCAAGTCCGACATCGTAGAAACCGTAAGGAAAAATTGTTTAATGTTTTATATTACAGCTGCAAATGAAATTCGTCATTGTTTCGGTTCGAGGTTGATTTCGTACCTCGCGATTGCGTCGCGATATCCCGCACGGTGGAACCCGTCTTCGAAGTCGTAAATTTCGAAGCTACCTTTGCTCGCGGTAAACGGTCCGTCGCGTCGCGTTGCTTCAAGAAATTAACCCGGAAACAATGATTCTAAGGTTAATGCAGCACGAATGTTGCTGCTGAATGACGTTGAACTGATGTAAGAATGTTCTCGAAATAAAATCGTCGGTGTCGAATCAGAGTCGAACTGTACGTTAATCGACTCGCGGTTGCGATGGAAGTCTTTTTGTTGTTAACTGTTCGGTGATCGAAGAACGAGTGCTCGAAGTGTCCGGAGCCCGTTTCCTCCTCGGCTCGAACCCCCTCCGACTCGCGATTTCGGGGGTTTGTCTTTCAATTCGCGTTAATTTTCCCGTTTATCGATTGGCCATCGACTTGGGGGAGGAGGATCGATTTTCCTGCCCCATTGGGCAGGAAACTCCTCCCTCACCCGATCGTGGTGGAGGCAAGGCCCAGGTCACCCTGGACAAGGGTGACCGAGGTTTTCTCCCCAAGTCGAAGGCCCCGTTAATTTTCCGAGGAAAAAACGGAACTCCGGATTTCGCGTAGCTGCACGTGCGTTGCAGCCGTTTTATGGCTGTATTGTTCCACGAGTTGGCGATGGTCGTTGTAGGGGACCGTGCCACCCGCGGAACAATACAGCCCTTCGTCGGTCAACTCGGGCCTTGCACTTTCGAATAGTTAAAGTGCTTGAACGGTTTACGATTATTTTTGCCAGATGCGGAATATTCGAAGACTTTTTCGACAAAGTCATGTTTCCGCATCTGGCACCATAAACACGCGGAAAAACCCGAGCCGAACGGACGGAACAGTCATCGATTGCCAATCGATGACGAATTTCTTAGCAACTTGTATGTTTTTGAACCCACTTTTATATTAAATGATACAAATAGAGACATTTCCTTCAGAAATGTTCTCTTAATCGCTAAGAAATTCGGCGGTTTCGACGAAGAAGGACTGCAAACAGAATGGTCAGTATTGCCTTTGGAATTTACAACGAAAGGTAGACAGACGCTTATCGAGATGAAATTCGATGGTTTCTGGAAAACAATTTTATTAACGCGAAATTTGGACTAGAAAATTAAATTTCCTGAATTGATGAAATTAGTAAATACAATTAGATCACTTCCAAATTCCAATGCCGATGCAGAAAGATTGTTTTCCATGTTACCTGACATAAAAACAAAGAAACGGAATAAACTTTCTTCGGCCAGCGTCAACTCTATTTGCGTTGTGAAATCTTCGTTAACGGCGCAGAGGGAAAACTCTCAACCCATGGAGGTAGATGACGATCATCTAGCTCTATTGTATTCCAAAAATTTATATCATAGATTTGCTAAGAAGCAAAAGTGTAATTTAAGATTAAACGCAACATATGACAATAACTTTGAGAATTTTCCCGCTACGTCATATGACGAAAATTAAGGTACCGATTTACTACAGAGCTTTTCTCTAGAGAGATTTTTCTCTCCAGAGAAAAGCTCTTTAGTAAATTCGTACTATTAGGCTGCAATGACAGTATAAACGTTTTCATGCGACGTCGCGGTAGACTGGTCTTGTTACGTCAACGGTACCGCGACGTAGGCGCAACAAGGTGTGATGCATGTATGTGCCATAACGTCACGCGAAAGCGCTTACACTGCAACCGCAGTCTTGTTAGTGATGTCCAAAATATTTTTTTTTGGACATCGCTAATATGTAAATAGTTGTTCAATTTGTCTCGCGTTGTTACTTTTTTTACGTATTTCGCTTGCTGTAAATACTATTCTGCTTGCTCTAACTAGCATTTTCTTTCTTCATTTATTTGCTTATATTTTGCCGTATATTTTTAGTTAGTGAAATTGCTTGCTGTAGATAGTGTGGCTATGACGTAGAATGTCGCGCCTTGTTACACTTACGTCACGGTACCGTAAGAGCAACAATGCACGACATAACGTGCCAGCTTAATCGCAAACGTCCTATCCCGACATCCCATCCTTTGGAAATGTAAACAATTATATCATTTTTCCATTTTTATGGCTCGTGTGTATATTAATAAAAATTAATGCATTCACGAGTTAGTTTTTCATTATATTGTAATTTCATTACATTAATAAAAACATTTTAATATACGGCATGTGATAATGTTACAAAGAAATAACAATTTTTTACATTTCCCTCCTGATGGAAGTGACCACCACCTTCCCGTGGTTTCCATTGAACGGTAGCGTGCACGTTATTCTTTTACCTATCGTTACAATTATTTTGTTATGTAAAGTTAAGTCAAATATATAACATTTGATTGTGTGTAACAATTTGATACGGTTATTAAAAAACATAGTGGGAAAAGTCAGTAGTAATCTATTTCTGTAGCGTGCACGGTACTGGCTAAGAGTGGTTTTTCATTTTAATTAACCCTTAATTAACCCTTTACGAGTAAGACTGCTTTGAACAACATTATTCTAAAATATTTGTGGAATACGTTTTTTATGTGGTTTAGGTAGGTATGCAAGGCATAAGATTTCGTTTAATTTTTCCTGTCTAGGAAAGATAGGAGAAAAATATATTTGATCTTAATCCTTCTTAAGATTTATATAAATCGCTTTAAAAATTTGTTACAAATAATTATAAAACTAAAAACGTATAATCATCATTATATGGGAGCTGATCACGCTCAAAATCTAATGAGACCTTGAAACGAGAACATAAAACTTAAATGTTAAGTTTCATTGAAATTCGTTCAGCCGTTTAGATGCAATCATGTCAATAGCATAGGAACAAAAAAAAATATGTTTTTTTGTAGTAGTCACAATATGATGAGGGGGTCCTAAAACGTGTATTTCCGCTAAAAAAAAATTTCGAAATTTTTTTTCCATTATGATACTTTATAAATTTCCTTATACCTTACATAGGTCGGAAAGTAAAAATGCTGGGACAGTCGAGGCTTGGAATCGTATGCCACTTATCGCGAGGTCGTATTTCAGTTGTTTTGTCTTTTACAAGAGCAAGAAGGAAAGGCTCACACTAACGTTCTTTATCGATTTCCCGAAGTTATGCGCAAGCGCCGAGCTCACGTACACGTGGCTCGTGCGGTAGTATATGCCTGCTATCCCAACCACTCCATTAGACGCTAAGGAAGTTCGTCGTCACTGTTGTCGATTTCGATGCACTCAATTATGCCAGATCTGGCCACACTGGTCACTATTGTCGATTCCAATGCACTCAATTATGCCCGATCTGGCCACACTGGGCCACGCTGCTCTGCACACAGGCTGTGTGGCACAGCCGACTCTACTAAGTAGGTATAAGCGTCAGAACTGTTTATGTACAGCGTGAATAAGATAATATGTACATACTTTTGTATGGATGTACCTACAATGTTTCAAGAAATTAATACGACTATGAAATGCGATTTCGTTTTAAAGAAAAGCGTTTTTCGAGCACATCGTTGCGGATATAAAAAAGTGAAGTTATAAAAAAATAATCATTGCGCGACGCTTGCTTCACAATGTGATAGTTTCATGAAAAAATTCGATGTATAAAACATGCCAAATATGTATACTCTGTAAAGTTTCTACTTTAGAGGAATTATTTATATTATCGATTTCTAAATACTACAGCATTGTACTACATTTTAGAACTGGTTCTCTAATAACATTGCTATATTCAATATTCTAAAACTGAGTACAAAACTTGAAGTGAAGGATTGGCTCAATAAGATAGTTCAAATAACAATGTTTATAATGTAATTTATTATTTATATTTTCATGATGTATTTGATTAATACAATGAGATAATGATAAATAATTTTATTCTAATGAATTTAACATCAATAGCTGTTTTAAAACCTTTGTTTGACTTGTCTCCCTTATTTCGCCTGCCAAAAACATTTCATCTACAACTGTATATACCTGCAAAAGATCTTTATTATAAGGATGAGTTTTATTTGATTTGGTATGTGCTTAAAAATTAAAAGTTACCTTATAAAAATTAAATACCAGATCCAATTCGCACACATTATGAAAATATTCGTTTAATACTTCAACAAAATTATGTATTGCTTCTAAGTAACACAAATTATTATCATTGACATCAACACAAATGCAAAAATATAAACCAGCATATCTTCTATATACAATCTTGAAGTTACGAAACTAAAACATACAATATTAAATTTTTTCATATTATTGAAATTAAATGTAAGAAACTTACCTCAACAAAATTAGTATGTTTAGCATCTCGTACAGTCACCACTGCATGAACCTCTTCTATTAATTTCTGTTTTTCATCGTCATCAAAATTCATATACCATTTTGCTAATCTTGTTTTTCCAGCTCTATTTTGAATAAGAATGAAGCGAATCTATACATTAAACCAAAAGCCATTTTAGAATTTTCACGAAAATGTTTCTTTCATGTACTTCATAAATTGTATCAATAAAATATTATATAACATTTAAGTGTTAAAAAAGAAAATAGTACTCATATGCTAAATTATTATCATAACGAAAATAAATATATTTAATGTTTCATTAATTACTTGCCATGGTTAAACTGACTTAATACGTCAACCGATATTGGTATTAGTGCAGTTGACAGCCGCTGATCAACAAGAATAAAACATGAAATTGAGTGACATTTATTACTGTTTCTGGGTTATCAAAATGCACAAATGAAGTCGCTCTAAAATCTAGGAACTTTGTATAACGATCAGTGTTTTTCAATGGCTACTTACAAAAAAGTTATATAAATCAAAATTCAAACTTTTGAAAAAGATGCATTTGTACACTAGTTTTTATGTTTTCATAGTTGCTTTGACACTTGGAAATTGATCCACGAAAACAAAATGGCTGATGGTGGTAAAGTTGAATTTAAAAATAATTATGATTCGGAAAGAAGTTCAAGTACTAAATTAGATTTGCAAAGTAATTTAAAATTATACGAATATGAAAATAAAGAAGAAAATGAAAATTACGAAATAAATGAAGAGTATAAACTGGATTTAGGATATATTGAAGAATATTCCTCTATAGCCAGGCAACCACAGAATGGAACTATATCTAAAAATATTTTAGAATTTTTGTATCCTTAATAAAACAACCAATTCTTTTTCTTTAAAGTTTCTTAGTTATATTTTATTTTGTATAAATTCTTAATATGCAACAGTTATTCATATGCATACGATTGCCAAAGATATTTTAATCTTTGCATAGCTGATACAAATACTATAGTCTTCGCTTCTGGTAATATAATTCACTTTTTCGACGTAAAAGAAAATCAAATTTGGTTCAGAAGAGGCTCTATGGGTGGTGGCATTGGTCACATATGTGTAAGTATTTCTTTTCTTATAGTAATATCAATAAATTTGATATAAGACTTGGATGGCTTTAAAATATCTGTACAGAAAAATCCTACCATCGAACATATTGCTGTAGGAGAGAATGGAATAAATCCCTTAATAACTATTTACAAATGGCCTTCCATGGAAATTATAACTACTTTAAAAGGAGGAACAACTAAACGTTACTTTCATTTGACATATAGGTAGATAGATTTAAACAAATAATTCAAAAAACTCTGTAGTATAAAAATAACACCAGATGTTTTTATTTATAGCCCTGATGGTTTATTATTAACTTCGCAAGGTGGTGAACCTGATTATTATATTTCTCTTTGGAATTGGAAAGAATCACAAATTATTTTGCAATGTAAATCTCATGTTCAAGATGTATATAATGTAACTTTTTCTAAATATATTCCTGATCAGTTAACATCCTGTGGATTAGGACATATTAAATTTTGGAAAATGTCTAAGACTTTCACCGGATTAAAACTTAAAGGGGAAACTGGTAAATTTGGAAATACAGAGATCTCTGATATTATAGCAATTCATCCAATGCCGAATGAAACAGTAAGAAAAAAAGAGTCATTTTTTGAAAATTAAAATTTTCTACTTACATGTGTTTTGTATTTTAGGTAATTTCAGGATGTGAATGGGGTAACATACTTTTATGGGATGAAAGTATAATTAAACTTGAAGCATGTAGGAAAAATAAACAAGCTGCACATACTGATTATATTGCTCAATTTGAATTCATCAACGGAGAACTTATATCAATTGGTAATTTATATAATTTATATAATTCATAGCAAAAAATAATTCAAAATAAATCGTAATATTTGCTGTGATAGGATTAGATGGGTGGATACGATTTTGGTTTTATGAAAGTATTGATGATGCTGATCTTCCTAGCAATGAACAGTTATTTGAAATAGAACCAATTTATGAATTTTATATTACGGAGGGGAAAGAGTATTCGAAAAGAAATGCAATGCTTATGAGTATTCAAAAACAGGAGCCAAATGATCCAGAAAAAACAATTTGGTATGCCCAGGTAAATATATCGTATTATAAAAATGTAATATTATTGTTTAATGAAATATTTAGTAGGATGGAAATGGAGGATTGTGGTTACTTGATCTTTGTACCAGTAAAAAACAACATCGACAGATCAAAATTTTTACGTGTCATGCTGGTTCTATAGTTGATATGGATGTAGCAGTATGGGGACCTTTTGTAGCTTCACTCGATGAGAATGGTCAATTACATATTTACAATTATATTGAAAAGAAATTAAATGTTGTCCATTCTTTTCACGACCTTGGAACTCAAGTCATTTGGTTTCCATGCAAGGTAAATAAAATTTTTTCCTTTTTTAAATTGTTGTAAAAGGTATTATATTGTAAAAATGTTTAGATCGAAAAAACAGGATCAACGCTAGTGTGCGCCTTTAAAAGTGGTATTATTCGAATGATAACAATAGCAATAAAGACAGCTAGCACAAATAATAATATAAATGAAAATTATACAAGACTGATTCAAGTTTTAAAACCACATTCAATGCCAATTTCTGTAATGTGTTTTAATATTTCTTGTAGGTATGTTTTACATAAATTTAAAGGTAATTGTATTTTTCTAACAAAATAATTTATTTTTAGTTTACTGATAACGGGTAGCGAAGATGCTACAATTTTTACATTTCATATTCAATCTACCAATACTTATCCGAAGATTATACCTATCGGATACGTTAAAGTTCCTTCGTCTGTTACTTGTATGACATGGAATCCACAAGAAGTAAAAACCAATATTATTATTTTATTTCAATTGAATATAGCAAAAGTGACTACATAATTTAATTTAAATAGGAGGCAACTTTGTTAATTGGATGCTTGAAAGGAGACTGTATAGAAGTAGAATTACCTATAACACCTCAATCATACACAACTAGTTCCTACGAGCTTATCAAGTGTAATTCTGTAGCATTTAAATTTGAATCGGTAAAATCTTCGATACAGAGAGAACTTATGAGAAACAAATATGAAAAAGAAAAAAACAGAAGACTCGAAAAAAAGAAGAAGAAATTGGAAGAACTGATAGCAGAAAATCCTCATGTTGTAATCGATGAAGAAACCTTTCTTAGTAATAACATGTTTTTAATATTATTCAAGCAGCTTGATTCGAAATACAAATTAATTATTCTGATTTAATTCTTTTTTTTTAGTGGAGTTTGATGACATGGATATGATTCTACCAGAAATTTATATTCCAGAAATTCCAAACAAAATTTTAGTAGCACTGTATGGTACCAATGGGAATATATGGCTATTTATGGCTGGTTTTGATGCAGGATATATTTATGAATATCCACGTCCACTATCCGGAAGAATAAAAAATAATAAACCGATTAGGAGTAGAATAATTGAACATGCAAAGGATACAGAGATTCAAAATTGCCTTTTTTAGTATGGAAATGTAAAATTATTTTAAAACAGAAATGCCATAGAAAAGTAATATATTACTCTTTTCTTTTTTAAGCAAAAACAAGAAATATTTATTTTTGGGAACACAGTATGGAGAACTTTATGTTGCTAAAATGAAAGAAGAAAATCCGTTAGATTTGTCAGATTCTTGGATTCTTCCCATACATGATTATTATAATGGATGCATATCTAAAATGTTATTAAGTTACGATAAGAAAATGTTACTGACATGCGGTCACGATGGAAATATATTTTCTTTCAAAATTAACGATGATACACCTTCCGAAAGTATAGAAATACCAAAAGTGCAGCATCCCCTACCTCTAGTAAGTTGATTTCTCAATTGATACCTTTAAACTAATTGATTAAAACTAGATATTTGAAACTATTTTTATAATGTAGCCTAAAAATATTGAAGACATTGAAGATGTAAACTATCCAAATTTAGAAAATGTAATTACAAAAATAAAACAAAATGAAATTATCTCAGCTGCAGCCAATAAAAAGAAAGAAATTCTGTTAATCATACGTGGTTTGACAGAGGAATATGTCAAAATTACTACTAGGTAATACTACTATATATATTAACTATTACCTTATAATAATTTATTTTTCTTTGTCAAGTCAGAAATAAAAGCCTTCTGCCATCACAACAAATATCACGGTTTGAATTAGATATAAGAATTATAGAAGACTTGGAACAGTATTTAAAAGCACAAACAGCCTTGACACAGGAGAATCTAGAATTCCAAAAGAAGAAAAGTAAACTAGAATTACAGAAGTTTATGAATCATTTCATTGCACCTATTACACATTTACCTTTTGCGATTTCCAGTATATTGTGAGCATTATCTTTTTTTTTAAGTATGTAAAATTATATTTACTAAAGTAAAATAATTTAAAAATAGGAATGAAGATAGAACTGTGCATTCTTTAAGAGAATTGAAATTAAATATTCATAACATTTCAAAACACATAGTGATGAAACATATTGAAGAACAACAAAGAACAAACAGGTATATATATTTTCTTTTTAGATATCTATCAAATAGGAGAATTCAAAATTAATTTTCAAAAAATGAAGTTCTATTAAAATAGTATTTAATAAGGTATTATGAAAAAAAAATTGTGTATATCCTTTTATATCCTTATTGATATTGTTTTCAATGTCTTTTCATTAAGAAAATTATTCAACTATTTCTCGAATTCTTTGTGTTTATATTATTATGCGGCTGTAGTATAACAGAAGAAGAAATAGAAAAAGACATAGGAGAAATACAAGAAGAGGAAATACAATACTTAGAAGGTATTTTAGCTGAAAATTACAGTGATTTGACGTCTGGGTTAGGATTGAAAATTAATCAAATGTTATTAAAATACAAAGAAAAGAAAAGAAAATTAATTCAACGGCAAAAAGAAGTAAATAAGTTATAATAAAAATGAATTGTGTTATAATTGATATGTATTATGTAATATTAATTTGTTTTCAGTGGCAAACACTATATGCTAGGAAACCAAATGTATCTAAAAATCGCATAGAGGATGTATCTTTCCTTAAAAAAACGAGAAAATTTATTGGTGAATATGATTTGAAAATGGGTACAGGTTTAAATTTAACTATGAAAAAGGAAACCGTTGCTGCAAAATACAAAGAACTTTTAGATTGTAGAACCAAGGTATAACTGACGTACAAGTTTTTATTATAATGGTTGATTTTTAAAGTAATTATTCCTAATAGCTTTATTACTTGCGGGAGGAGTTTAATGGAAAATTAAATGGAATCAGATTAAAAAAACAAAAATTTCAGAAAGAAGCGATTAGATTAATGGAAATTCTTAAAAGAATTCATACAGAAATTCCATTGAAAAGTGTAAAACCTTTACCACAGCTGCCAAGGCTGAATTTTGATATTGAATTTCCTGAACACAATCTTGAGGTTAATTAAATTCGTAATTTCTTACGATTAAAACACATAGAAGTATCTTTAAGACAATATTATTTTTACAGCTTGAGAAATATATGTCAATGTCAGAACAGGTGCAACAAGTAAAACAACAAAGACAGTCGATAAGCATGGATCTACCAATAGATTTGTTTGATTTAGAATACGAAGTATTATTTTGTGACGATAGAACAGACTTTGGAGATGAAATAGGAAATCTGTCTACTCTTCTTTCTTTTTCGAAGATGAAACTAAAAGATAATTCATCTATGCAAATTAATTTAATTCAAAATCTAAATACAAGCGACTCTGTACAAACTTCATGGGAACGTGAAATGAAACGATCTCGAATGTGGCGAAAAATATATGAGCAAGATTGTATTTTACGATATATTAATAACAGTTATAAACATTTAGAGCATGAATTAAATGAATTAGAAGAATATAGACTCGATGTTATATATCAGAGTAGTTACGTAAATTTGAATTTGTTAACTCTTTATGAAGAATTTATTGCTCTGAAAGAATGTGAAACAGTGGAATATGCACTCGAAGAAAAAGTTAATAAAACAATAAGTAAACGTGTCGCGATCATGTTAAAAGTCATTATCATTATAAGAATAAAAAATAACAATTGGTTGATATAAATTAATAACAGAATATAATTTTAATAGATACAAAATACAAATGTAAAAATTGTGACGCGAGAAGAAAAAATTCGGAAATTGCATACAAAAATAAAAGATGTTACTGTTGAATTTTCAAAAGCTACAGCTGGAAATAAATTTTATGATTTTCTTCAAAAAATATTTAAAAAAAAATACTCGACTACAAGACAAAGAGATGGTATTATATTGATATACGTATTAGCTTTTTCTAGTTTTATTTTTTACATTAACGTCGGTCGAGTTACTTAATTTTATTGATTTAATTATAATTTTAGGTTCTTTGGATTCAATTACACAGTCGTCGGAAACCAGTTCCGAAGAAACAGATACGACAGTAGATTCTGAAACCAAACACATTCCATTCGATGAAAATATATGTCCATCAGGGTGTGATAAACAATTATATGATATGGCATTTTCTATGAGGAAAAAACGATATACATATGAATTTCAGATTAAAGAGAAGCAGAGAGAAATAGATCTACTGCAAAAAGAATTAGAAACAGCTTCCAAAAATTTAAGAGTTATTGAAAGCAAGTTGAAAAGGAATCTAGAAGATTTAGAAGTTTTTATGGTATTTTAAGATATTATATGCAGGGTGTCTTGTTTAAGTGATTACAGCAGGATATCTCGGAGGGAGTTGTAGTTATTAAAAAATTGTTTGTACAAAAGTTGTTTGATAGGACGGGCTACATCATGTAGTACTAATTGTTTTTTGTGGGTGGAGTAGTAGAGGAGATCTGAAAGTCAATCTAATTTTCTTAAATGGAATGCTATATTTTTTTCTTCAGAAAGTAACAGCATATATTGAGACAAATCCAGGAAGGTGGTTATACGATATTATTTTGAATTCAATAAAGGTAAATTGTTGGCTTATGTTTACGTCTTACATTGGTCGACGACCAACAGCCAGCAGCTGCTGCCGAGTAGCGTTGGTCGTGTTCGTATCAAGTTACTGCAATTATGATATTATAAACAGAGGTTGAGGTTATTGCTAAACTAATTTGTCGAACATGAAAAAGTTAATAAAAGAAACACGTGGAAAATAATTTAATATGGACGAATTTGACATTTCGTCCGAAACACAGCAACGGCTGCTGGCTGTCGGCCGCCGACTGATGTAGAACGTAAACGTAAGATAACGATTTACCTTTATCGAACTCAGAATAATATCGTATAGAACCTCTTTGGATTTGTCTCAGTGTCTGCTCTTACTTTTTGAAGAAAAAAATATAGCATTCCATTTAAGAAAATTAGATTGACTTTCAGATCTCCTCCACTACTCCACTCACAAAAAACAATTAGTACTACATGATGTAGCCAATCCTACCAAACCACTTTTGTACGAACATTCATTTTAATAACTACAACTCCTTTCGACATATCCTGCTATACGCACTTAAACAAGATACCCTAGATGATACACTAAACTTTAGTATTGTTCTCTACTCTCCCTGAGGATAAAAAAGTCATGTAAACATAGGTGCGAAAACTTTTCCTTTTCGAAATATAAACATAGAATTAGAAATGTAGTTCAGCAAGTCATTCTGATATCGTAGCTTATGACATAGTAAATAAATTTCTATTCAAACATTTGATAATAAAAATATTCTTACTAAGATGGCTTATTTTAATATTAAATTGACAGATATTCACTTCATTTATGAACGAGATGACGAGACATTGTAGCAGCTGTATCTAGAAACGCTTTTGTAAGGATGAAGTATTGATGAGAGACATTCGGTTTTGAAACGTTGATGCGTAAATAAAACGTAAATTTTAATTTTTAGAATACTCTATTATAAACAGAAAGTATTTATATTTCGAAAAGGAAGTCTTCAAACCTATGCTTATGTATCACAATCATCTTTAAAGAGAGTAAAATAACATATACCAAAAGTTTAGCGTTCTCTACTTTCAAATCATTCAGTAAGTGTTTTACAAAGTAACTTATTTATTTAATTTTGTTACTCTTAATAGTTAGAAAATCAGAGAAAGTTAAATGACATTAATGTAACAGTTGTAGCAAAGATTCATCAATTACAACACATATCAAATTCTGGATGTATTGCAGACATTCAAAATTGTGTAATTTTTAATAAAAAGGAATTATCAAATCTGTATGCTAGAATTGGAATACTACAAAAAGAAACTTATGACTTGGAAGAAAAACGCAAGTAAGTTAAAAGGAATACAAAGTAATTTGCAAGAATAAAATATTTATTTCTTGTAGAAAAAATGAAACACACCTTCAAAGAATAAAATTCGATCTGAAATACATGAGAACACAAAATAAGAAGCTAGAAATAGAAATTAAAGAGTTGATGATACAGAAATTTGGTCGCAAAACATCTTTAATTAGCCTTTACGAAACTGTTTTACAGAGATTGATTTACAACACCAAAACTAACATACGCAAGGTCATGAAGAATTTTACCAACGAAATAAAGAGTAAATCAAAAACTTTGAGTTTTAGAAAACTATTTTGATAAAAGCTTTTGATATAATCTTTGTTTTTTTTTAGATGTAAAACAAGAATGCAACGAAGGATTAAGTGCTTTAGCAAATTTGATACAAAATAATACTAAAAAAGTTAGTTTGCTGACACTGTTGGAGAAAGAAAAGTTTAAGCTTAAGAAAATTTTGGAACAGGTTTCAATTTCAGAAGTAAATATAATTTCAGGAGAAAGTATATATTTATTCTAATAGAGTGCATAATTAACATCCAATAATGCCTTTTTTAACTGTAGGAAAATATGTTACAAACAGAACTTGAACATAAAGCTAATATAACCATGCTAGAAAGTATTCTGCATAGTCAAATGCAACAAAAACATATGCTTCAATACGACGTAGAAAATCTTAAAGCTGGACCAAAAAAATTACTTCCAATTTGCTTGAAAAAAAGTATGCTATAGGAATAATTGGTTTTAGTTTTAACAATTAAAGTAATTAAGTAACATATATTATTTAACATGATTTAACTCATCTGTATTACTTGTAAAAGAGAAATAAATTAATGTTTCTAATTCAGCAAGATTATAATATACAAATATACCTAATGATAATTTTGTTTATTTTGTAAACATGAAAATAATTTAATTATTAGAATCGTCAATTTCTTTGTCACCCTTCAAACATCAATCAAGCAGCATATGCAATCATTACTCACTCAGTTACGTTGGTAGACAATAGATTTGCGCACTTTTGAAATAATTATATTATTTTAAGTAACTGGTTCTTTTGTTTAACTGTTATTTAATGGAACATTCCTAGCAAACGGACCGTTCACCGATCGGGGTGGGTTATACGTCATTCGATTCGTCTAATTCAGTACATTATTAATATGCATTTCATTATTTGCGGAAATTCGTTATTTTTTTATAAACTGGTTGTAAAGTTGCAGTAAAAAAGTAAGTAAGGTAAAGTATATTTTTTGACAGGTTCACAGGTAGAAACAAGTGACTATCGTTGCTGTATTCATGTTACAAATTATAAATAATTGATGTAATTTGAAAATGCTAGATTGTCAAATGGGAATTTGCGAAACATGTATGCATAAAAATTATTTTTTTACGCACAGGCTTTGCACGAGTTGGTTAGTTAGACAGTACATGCAGCAACAGTAAAAAATGTTGCCACCCTCCTCTGACAGTGTTCACAGGTAGACAATATAATAAATTACTATTCTATACAATGCGTTGGTTTAACTTTTTTTATTATTAAATTTCATTAACATCATCTAAATCTTGTATGTTCTGATTCTCTATAGAATCAAATGAAATTTCTGTTAATAATTGATTAAATAAATCATCATTTCCTTGCATAGAAGATTTGCAAAACACATAATAGCTCAAGTATCCTATGAAATTATCTTTTTTGCTGAAAATAGAAAATATTTATGATATTATATGTTGCAAAAAATATTAAAGAATGTGTAAAATTGCAAATACTAGCCGACAATATCCAGGCAAAAAGTGTTTAGTATGCCTCCAGGTACTTTCAATTGCATTCATATGAGCGCCTGTTTTCGGATCTTTAAAGTGTAAACTACGATTTATAGTAAGATGTTTATATCCTTCCTTTTTAAATGTTATATGCTTTCCAACAGTCTGATATTATCATAGTTCTTGGCACTACCCACTATTTGATTATCGAAAGAAGGGACTCTGTATCCCTACTTTCAATAGGGTCCAGGAATATTTTCTCACTTTCTCTTTCAATTGCTCCGAAAACCCACTGCCCTTCCACATGATGATCTCTATGGTATTTTCTCCAGACGAACTTGGATTCATCTATTTCTACAACTTTCCCTGATCTGCCAAGTATTTTGCATGAATTTTTCAACCATTCAACCATCACTTGCTTCACAAAGTAATTCCATTGGAAAACAGTGTTTTTATTTAATTCTAATTCGCATATAATATGTTACTGTTCAAAATTATAGACCAACATATAAGTTAATTTTAACACTGTTTCATAAGGAAGTTTTGTTTTCAAAAACCATTTTCCTCGCTTTAAGGATATTTTTATATTACAAATTCGTTTTCTTTTGCAAGCATTGGCAGATGCTGCAATTGTCCTTTTACATTGCCAATTTTCATTTACTAGTTCATTGCATTTCCACACTGTGGATAATTAAGATTTTTGGTAAATAACTTTTTGTCTTGCAAAAATTTCAATAAGGCTTCTTTATTTTTACAAAATTCGTGCAATTTAAATAAGCTCCATACTTCTGGAACTACAAAAATTCACTCATTTTTACAGCACAGTTGAACAAAATTCACAAAATACAAGAAACAGAAGAAAATCAGAAATGGCAATTGAAACAATTTCTGCTTTTTTTTCTGTTTCTTATACTGTCTGCCATGTGGAAATGTCATGAAAATGGTATATGAAAATTGGCAATGCAGGATAACTATTCCAGAATCTGTTAATCAAACTAAATGTAAAAGACATTGTAATATAAAGATATTTACAAAACAAAGAACATGGTTTTCTAAAATCAAACTCAGCTACAGATGTCTTAAAATTAACATATATGCTAACATACAATTATGAGTAATGTTATATTATTATATAACTAAAATTAAATAAAAATAATGCACAGCAATTGGAAGGGTAGAGAAGATTGTTGAGATTAATAAATCAACATTTTGTCGTAGCAAATATCAGAGGCCATTTAAAAATTAATCACAGCGTCAATTTTGAAAATCCCATTACGGATGCTTACACGAATTAAATTGAAACCATTTGGAGGCATGCTACATATTCTTTAATCTTTTTTATAACATATAATACTATCAATATATTATATTTTCGGGAAGAGTAATTTCATTGGATACCTGAGCCATTACATATTCAATAAATGTACCTAACAGGAAAAAGGGGATTTATTCAATGAAATATTAGCAGAAATAGCAGAAATTTCATTCAATACTGACTACCTACCATTTATAATTTACATCATGAACACAGTAACGACAGTCACTTATTTCTACCTGTGAATCTGTAAAAATATACTTAACCTTACTTTTCTACTACAACTTCACGTTAAGTTTAAACAAAAATAACAAATTTCCGCAAATAATGAAATGCATATTAATAATGTACTGAATTAGACGAATCGAATGACGTATAATTCACCCCGATCGGTGAACAGTCCGTTTGCTAGGAATATACCTAAATTTCGTTGTTTGAAATCATGTAACAATCGGATTTTTCAAAACACTTGGTAACCGGATACAATACGATCATTTTTGCCATTACCTACTAGCCTTCTTACCTAATGTGCAACTAACCCTATCAAGACTAAAGAAAATTAAGATTTCCTTCTCTACAAAGTCACTGAGTTCGACCTTTCTACACACAAAGTACATAGCCAATCGCCAGTTTGCGAAAATTTTATGTTTATCGATGCATTTCTACCAATTAATCAGAAATTTATCGTAAACTTCACATTCAAATGAAATACAATACGGTATCTATGTAATACATTCTCGAATACGTCTTAGATATTTCTTTCCTACGAATATAGGCATAGGAGGTACGCGTAAAAACTTTTAACCCAATATGAACAGTATGCGATAGTATAGCTAAATAACAACAACATTGATAAATTAAAAAAAATATATAAATCTGCATATAAACGTAACAAATGTGGGTTGGAGATATGATTTAAAAATATTACAAGCTACTCGAAACTAAAATAAATATTGAATAAAGTTAAATTAGATTAAATAGAATACACAAGTATAGAATTTACGTCGGCGTCGACTTATATTATTAACTTGCTAAGACGGTCTTTGCTGCAGTTTTTTAACGTAGATCCTCTTTTGTTTCTCGACACACACTGGCATACACTTGCCATTATTGCATATTTTCATCTTGACACTCCTATATTTGGGTCGCCCTTTCTTTTCTTACACGTGGAAAATACTATTGAACATCCTGGCCTCAGGGGCGGTGCACTATCCAATTGGACTTTTATAAAGTAAAAACCACACGATAACTTACCTCAACACAATTTAGAGAGATTCTGAGAACAGTGTAGCCCAGTGTGGCCAGATCTGGCATAATTGAGTGCATCGAAATCGACAACAGTGACGACGAACTTCCTTAGCGTCTAATGGAGTGGTGGGGATAGCAGGCATATACTACCGCACGAGCCACGTGTACGTGAGCTCGGCGCTTGCGCACAACTTCGGGAAATCGATAAAGAACGTTAGTGTGAGCCTTTCCTTCTTGCTCTTGTAAAAGACAAAACAACTGAAATACGACCACGCGATAAGTGGCATACGATTCCAAGCCTCGACTGTCCCAGCATTTTTACTTTCCGACCTATGTAAGGTATAAGGAAATTTATAAAGTATCATAATGAAAAAAAATTTCGAAATTTTTTTTTAGCGGAAATACACGTTTTAGGACCCCCTCATCATATTGTGACTACTACAAAAAAACATATTTTTTTTTTTGTTCCTATGCTATTGACATGATTGCATCTAAACGGCTGAACTTCAAGGTTCAGTAAAAAATTGTTATTTCTTTGTAACATTATCATATGTCGTATATTAAAATGTTTTTATTAATGTAATGAAATTACAATATAATGAAAAACTAACTCGTGAATGTATTAATTTTTATTAATATACACACGAGCCATAAAAATGGAAAAATGATATAATTGTTTACATTTCCAAAGGATGGGATGTCGGGATAGGACGTTTGCGATTAAGCTGGCACTTTATGTCGTGCATTGTTGCTCTTACGGTACCGTGACGTAAGTGTAACAAGGCGCGACATTCTACGTCATAGCCACACTATCTACAGCAAGCAATTTCACTAACTAAAAATATACGGCAAAATATAAGCAAATAAATGAAGAAAAAAAATGATAGTTAGAGCAAGCAGAATAGTATTTACAGCAAGCGAAATACGTAAAAAAAGTAACAACGCGAGACAAATTGAACGACTATTTACATATTAGCGATGTCCAAAAAAAAATATTTTGGACATCACTAACGAGACTGCGGTTGCAGTGTAAGCGCTTTCGCGTGACGTTATGGCACATACTACATGCATCACACCTTGTTGCGCCTACGTCGCATGAAAACGTTTATACTGTCATTGCAGCCTAATAGTACGAATTTACTATAGAGCTTTTCTCTGGAGAGAAAAATCTCTCTAGAGAAAAGCTCTGTAGTAAATCGGTACCTTAATTTTCGTCATATGACGTAGCGGGAAAATTCTCAAAGTTATTGTCATATGTTGCGTTTAATCTTAAATTACACTTTTGCTTCTTAGCAAATCTATGATATAAATTTTTGGAATACAATAGAGCTAGATGATCGTCATCTACCTCCATGGGTTGAGAGTTTTCCCTCTGCGCCTTTAACGAAGATTTCACAACGCAAATAGAGTTGACGCTGGCCGAAGAAAGTTTATTCCGTTTCTTTGTTTTTATGTCAGGTAACATGGAAAACAATCTTTCTGCATCGGCATTGGAATTTGGA